TACTTCTCCCACGGAACAGCTAGTGGCCTCGAACCGTGTGCTTTTGGATTGCAGCATTTACAACATTAACCATTTTTACATGCACAATTCGGTGGCATCAGTTCCGTTAACTGTCTTGTGCAATTATCACCACTGTCCATTTCAAAATTATTTCATCACCCTTACACAAGCTCATGACCCTGTAAGCAGCTCTTAACAACTCAATTTAAAATGGGAATGAACAGCCGAGGATCAGCAGACAGGAAGGATAAGAACATGGCAAAAAAAAAATAATAATATGGAGTGGAAGAAATAATTCAAAAAGTAAGAACAAATGATGGTTAATAATCTCAGTGATTATGGAGAAAATAGGATGTCTGCATGGCAGGAACAGGAGACAATAGGGGGGGAAATGCATAGAAGAGTTGGAAGATAAAGTTGAAGATAAGAATATGAGGAACATTGGTCCAGGAGTTTAAATATATGAGTAGTAGTGCTAGAGAGAAAAGAGAAATAGAGGATAGGAAAATCAAAGAAATGAGAAAACATTTCTGTACCTAAAGGATATAGTGTCTAGATTGAAAGGGGCCACAAAGTACCCAGCCGGCGAATGAGAAAAGACACATCTCAAGGCACCGTGTAAGGGGATGTCAGAATACTAAGAGACTGTCTCAGATGTTTTCAGAAGGTAAAAAACTCAAACCAAAACAGGTTACTTTAATATAAAGGATCAAGAATCAGAATGTTCTTCTTCTCAATAGCATCAGTGGAATAAAAACTTCAAAATTCTGAGAGAAAAAAATCCCCCACCTTAATTTCAGTGTGTAGTTATCTTAATGCTCAAGTGTGAGGGTAGAAATGAAGACATGTTCGGGTATCCACAGTTTCCAAAATTAACTTTAGATGCACCCTTTTTCAGTCACTATTAGATGATGTATTCCAGCAGACAGGAGGAAACTAAACAAGAAGATGTGGAACACAGGACTCCAGGATTCAACTCCAGAGTGGGCCAGGGAGTTTCCAAGCGGGAGATGAGGGAACATGAGTCAAGACAATAATGTGAGCAGACTCAGAAGACAGCAGGCTGCATTAGATGAAAGGTGCCAGGAAAGATACCACCAAGACTTAAATGAGACTCAGTGGCCACCTGTCAGAGAATCTCTCTGAGAGTGCACTGAAGATATGTTCTTCAAAACCAAGAAAACAGAACACGGATATCTTATTGCAAGAGAAAAAGAAAATGAATAAGGAAGTTATATATAAGAAAGGCAGTGTGTTTACATTATTCTGTACGGCCCAGCTGTGAATACTATCCTCACAGTCCTAAGAGAAACTGAGTACAGGAATACCTTAGAGATATTTTGGGTTCAGTCCCAGACCACCCCAATAAAGCGAATATGGCAATAAAGCAAGTCACACACATATTTTGGTTTCCTGATGCATATAAAAGTTCTATTTGCACTATAATGTAGTCTCTTAAGTAACATTATGTTACATCTATGTTCAGTAACATTAAGAAAAAGGTTGAAATATTGTGCGAATTACCCAAACGTGACACGGAGGCTTGTAGTGCACATGTACTCTTGGAAAAACAGCGCTGATGGACTGACTTAACAGAAGGTTGCCATGTGTCTTCAGTTTGCAAAAATGTTTATGTAAAAAAAAAAGAAAATGTAAAAGCACTACCCTAAACAATCCATTTTGTCTGTGAAGTGCAGTAAAATGAGGCATACCTTTAATGATTTTTTGAAAATTATATATTTCTTGAGAGTCTGAGGGGAAGAGACAGCAGCATTTGTGATGGGGGTGGAATCCAGGAATTAAATCTTCATCTTTGGTAGTGGAAAGTCCATTGTAACTGAACATGGCAAAATATCGAGATGTAATGCAATAAACACATTGTTTCAAAATGGACCTAGGTATTAGAAGCAATTGAGGTCTAAAGTGATTGCCTTTGGAGAGCAAGAATTAGCAATGCGGGAGAGGTAAAGCAAGAGAGACCACTGATTTACATAACCTCTACAGTCCTGCTTAACTTTCAAAAGCTATGTACACCTGATTTACTTGATAGATATTAAAAAGAAATTACCGCTTTAGAGGAGTGATTATAAAGTTGGAAGGTTCAGAGTGTAAAGGGTATTACTTGAGGGCATAGGGGAGTCCGTTGAAGATTTTGCTCGAGACCATCACGTAAGAGATCAACCTAATTGATTGCTACTGTGGACTGGGCTGCATTGGAATAGGGAAGTTCAGAGACTGTTGTAGTAGTGGAGGCATGAGGTGACCCAGACACACCCATAGTAACAGGGAGACAACGAGAGGAAAGACCCAGGAAGCATAGATATCAGAAAGGGATTCCAGTTGGGAAACATGGTAACATTTTATTCTGAAAAGATACTTGACATAGGCTGGTGGTGGTCTTAGGCCCCATCCAGTTGGTTTTGCCTCATATGTAGGGATCCTGTGTATAACAGAACACTGCCCAGTTAGGACTCCTAAATGTTACTGTGTTTGAGCTCATCGTTTGAATTCGTTTTTGGAGCCAGTGTATTAATCCAATTCATTAAAGGTCTTCCTCATTTTTGCTAACGTTATATTTTACCAACATGATGTCGCCAAGGACTGGTCCTTCTGATATGATCTCATAGTCTATGAGAAGACTCACCATCCTTCTAAGGAGCCTTCTGGGGTATACCTCTTCCAGGACAGATTTGTTTATTCTTTTGGCAGTCTATGGTATAGTCAATATTCTTTATTAACACCATAATTCAAATGCATCATTTCTTCAGTCTTCCACATGAGGTAGCCTGGTGGAAAAAGACCAAAGTTTTGAAAGAGAGCTTTGGTTTTGCTGAATCATATGTGACAGCAGATGCTGAATGTAAGGCAGTCTACCCACTGAATCCATACTAAGGCTGTGTGCTGCTTGCTATAGAAACAGAAACTCAAGAGTTGTAGAGTTGCTAAAAGGTCATGGAAGAGTTGGCCGAAAGGTCAGGTGGGTGGCTAACCCAGAAAATAGAAGATCCCATACTGAGGCCCAGAGGCCAAGTAACTTAAGAGCACTTCAGAGATGATGAAATGAGAACATAATTAGAAAACAAAGATTCTTTAACACAGTCATTCATTTATCATATCTATAGTGTTCATTTACGCAGTGTTAATTCTAGTTTTCTCAGTTGTATTTTTTCCTTACTTTCTCAAATTTAAAATAGAAAATTTCAAGCATACACTCAGGTTAAGAACAATGATGCCTTTGTAACTTCCCTCTGGTTTTAGCAATTAATAACATTTTGTTTCATTACACCGCCCACTTTTGGGTGGAGTGCCTTGTGTATTTTAAAGTAAATCCCAGACACATCATATCCTTTGACCTGTGAGTACATCATATATATGTCTCTAGCATATGGCTAATGGATGAAGTGTTTTGTTAGTTTTTTTTTAAATGAAACCACAATACAATTATCCCAGTCCCCAGATTAACAGTGTTAACTTGCCATTATGTTGTACCCGATCTATGTTTTCACCAATTGTGTCTAATGTGTTTTTTTTATACTTACTTTGTTTGAATCAGATCCAAACCCAAAGTCAACAAATTGCATTTAGCTAATAAATCTCTCCAAGCCTCTCTCAATCCATAAGCTCTTTCTTCATTCTCCTTTTCTTATTTTTTCCCCGAAACCATTTATTTGTTGAAGGATCTGAATATATGTTTTATAGAAGTTGTCATATTCTGAATATGGCTGATGGTGACCTGTGGTGTTATGTAACATCCCTCTCGATCCTTTCCTTTTCCTGTAAGCTAGTAGTTAGACCAGGAGACTTGGTGAGATTCCGCTTTGGGTTTTGTCTTTTAGTTGACTTATACCCACAGTCTGATGCCACATCTCCATTGTACATGTTGCTAAGTTTTGACAAATGCATACTCTCATGAAACTTGTACTCTATCAAGATATAGAACACTTAGGTCATGTTGGAAAGTTCCTTTTCTTACCTGCTTTTCATTACTTCTTCTGCACCTACCAAGGGCAGCTGAGAGGATTTACTTCCTGTCCTAGGCCTACAGTGGCTGTGGGTGTTTAGGATCTGGGAAAGGCTGCTTCACCACTGATGGTCATGTGGCAGTCCTGCTGGTTTGGGGGCCCAACTACTCATAATTACTCAACCTGTTTTTACTGGAACTTTTTATCAGGATAATTTCAGTTGCAGATAACAACAACAACAAAAAAAATGTATCTAATTCAGTCCAAATAATGTAGGAAGTTACTGGCTCATATAACTGAACATTGTAGATGTTGATCATGGTTTCAGTTGAAACGTGATCTAGTGACTCAGCAGTATCCCTAGAGGTCTAACTTTCTCCCGTGTTTTTGCTCTGCTATCCATTATGTTGTTGTTTTATCCCATGTGTCAGAACCAACTCATAGATGACCCTCCAGCAGGTTTTCAGAGGCAGTAAATTGCACAGAAGGAGTTCGCTCATCTTTCTCCTACAGAACAGTTGGTGCATTTGAATTACGTGCCTTTGGGTTGGAAATGCAACTCCTTCCTTGCATTTGGACCGAGGATGGGAGCCCGTGGCATTCAGGACGGACGACATCTCTCCTCAGCCATATCCAGCAGGGATGACAGACCATTTTCCCAGAGTTCTTAGAATAAGTCCTAGATTCGCTGATTGGTCCAGCATCAGTCTCATGCCCACCCCTAGTCTAGTCAACAGTTCAGCTCTGGAGGTGGAGATGGAGCCAACTTCCTTAGAACCTCAGAGACTCTTACATGGGCCTTGGGAGCCAGGAGAGATGGGTTGCTGTGTGGCAGCCACCGTTGTCTGCTATGATCACTTAAGCTCTTTCCTCTATGATTGGGGTCTGCCTGGATGTGCCTTCCTCAGGTAGCCAAGTTGCTACATTTTCTGCCAAACTTTGTGCTCCCTTGGTTCTTCCTTGCCAATCATCTTGAGCTTTCTCTAGAGTTTGAGGACATGGTGGTCATCATGTTAACTTTGAGTTTCATGTTTCCAGCTGGGAAAAGCGTACGGATCCCCGCGGCAGGTTTTACTATGTGGACCACAACACTAGGACCACCACCTGGCAGCGCCCTACAGCGGAGTATGTGCGCAACTATGAGCAGTGGCAGTCACAGCGGAATCAGCTCCAGGGGGCCATGCAGCACTTCAGCCAAAGATTCCTCTACCAGGTGAGAGGGCAGAACCTCACAGCCCCCAGGAACAGCTCCTACATCCCCTCAGGGAGCAGAGAAAAAGGTGGCTGGAAACGTCAGTGCTCTGACCCTGGACATTTTACCCGTCACAGCGAAATTCCTCAGATTCCTGTGTTTCTGATCTAGTAACTCAAGGTCCAGACTCTGTTTAAGGAATCAACATGTCTGGAACAAACTTCAACATCTTTTTTTCAAAAGTGGCTTTCTCTTCTGGCCCCCACATTCCAGCCCATCTACCTTGAGCTGAAATGTCTTGGTCAGCTCTGACTTCTCCCATACCTCACCTTTCCAAAGCAGAGCAGTCACCCACATCCTTCTCTTTGCATCACTTTCATTCTTCTACTGATCTTTATTATCTGCTAAATTTTCAAGGATAGGAGGGACCATAAAGTTCGTTTATTGGACCTGAAAACTGAAAAAACTCAAAGTCATTGTGGAGATTTGGAATCAACTAAAATCTAACTCCTCAGGGAATTTTTAGAGGCTATAAATTGATTGGGAGGAGACTCTGCTCATCTTTCTCCTACAGAGTAGCTGGTGGGTTTGAACTGGTTGCCTTTGGATTGGAAGCACAACTTGGCAGACTATCCTGGTTGTATAAATAAAGTTTTATTGAGAAACATCCATTGGGACACTTGGTCATTGTGGCTTCTTGTGCAGATTTGAGTAGTCAAACAGACCAAATGGCCCACAAAGCCTAAAAGAGACACTGACTTGCCCTTTATAGGAAAAAGTCGTGAGCTCTCATTTACGTCAACCTTCTGCTAGTTGCTTTGCCTTTTCTCTTTCCCACCTGAATTGTTTTCTTTCCTGGTTGGGGTTGTTGTCAAATGGTACTGCCCCTTCATCACTTTACCAGCTCAGAAGCTCTATGGTGTTTACATTCAGAATCACATTCACATTTCCTAGTTCAGAATCCAGGATGCCCTGGTACCCAGTTAATCATCCATCACCTAGACTGTGTCACATTAGGAGCCCTCCCAGCCCCTCTTTTTTTGAGTCTCAATCCCTCTAGAAGTTCCACTGGGGACCTGGAGCTGGGAGAGCCTCTCCTTGGCCTTTCAGGCAGGAGAGGGGATTCTCAGTTTAAACTCTGATTGGATTTTCTCTGTGGAGGCAAGGATTCTGGGGCTTCGTCTGACATACTTTGGACATGTTGTAAGGAGAGACAGGTCTTTGGAGAGGGACATCATGCTGGGTAGAGTGGAGGGACAGCGTAGGAGGGGAAGACGGGGAAGACCCTCTATGGGGTGGATTGATTCAGTGACTGGGGTACTCAGGATGGGTGTGTCAGAGGCAATGAGATTGGCACAGGATAGAGCAGCACGGTTTAGGGCTGTTGTACATGGGGTCGCTATGAGTCGCAAACGACTCGACGGCACATAACAACAACAACAACAATCTTAAATAATAAAGATGACACCTGTAGTATAAATTATTAGTATAGGAAAGCCTCTATTTCACAAGGGGAATTTTTTGAGTGGCACCATGAATTTTAACCATCCCATCTATTTAAAACAAATTTTGAAATGACTGTGAATTTCTATTTTAAATTAGCTTTCACCCACAAACCATTTCTAAGTTGGATATGGCTCTAGGTCAGAAAAATCTTTAATCCTTTTGAATTAAGTAGTATTCATTACTAGTCTACACCACAAACATCTCTTTTGGCTCTTCTGTCCCATCTTCTGTCCATGGAGGTGCTATTGCTCATTATATAGTGAGAAAACTGCAGAACTGGAGTTTCTTGGGTAAAGATGAGCAGAAAGGGCAACTTTTTTTTTTTAAATTTTTTATTTATTTATTTATTTTTTTAGGGCAACTCTTATAATGCCTATCTACAGTCCAGGCCGTGGTCATCTTACCCAGGGAAGCACTGTGTTTCCTCTTTTGCCAGCCTTTCCATCTCATGAGTCCAGTCCTCCTGTTTGGGCATGGTTTAGACGTGGATGGAATCTAATCACTCCTTGTATTTCCAAGATCGTGCCTCTTGAGCTGGGCCCCATGGACGTGATCTGCCATTTTCTTTTTGGGTGGTTATGATTGTGAAACTGAAATTGTCTGGGCATCATTCTTCCTGCCTCTTGACTTAGAGACAGAGACATATTTTAAGCATTCCACATGGTTTTGTCTCCCTGCTTGACCAATTTCTCGAATTAAAAGCCATAAAGTCACTAAAGGAATATCCCACCCTCCCCCACCTCACCATGTACTGGGCAGGTTCTGTAGGTTGATTGGAATGGTTAGTGTGTAAAAGGGAAGATTCTGGAACTTGTGTGTGCTTGTGGAACATTTGTTCCTCTTGCTTGCCTCTCTCATGTTAGCAACATTATCTATAGAGGTAACATTGACTCAAAGGGTCCCCAGAAGTGAGAATTAAATGCTAGACAAATTCCTTTCTAAGAACACAAAGATGGTTCTCTTGGCCGGTATGAGGATTCCAGAGGGTCCTGGATGGAGGTGAGGGCCACCGTTTTCTGGAAGAAACAAGACTCATATTGAAAAAGTGCTAGAAATCTTTTTTTCCAGTCTGCTCTCAATGTCTCTCTGTTGATTTTTCCTCCCCCCTGGATTTGGTTTTCTCCTCTTGTTTGCTGTGGTGCCATGTCCTGGTTACAAGTAAGAAGGGTTGCTTTCATATAGTTATTTTGGGGTTTGGCTCTGGCCCAGGCTTTGACTCGGAAGACTTAAGAGCTGATACTATGGCAGCTACTCCCCCTCTTGCTCTTACTGGGCTTAACGGAGACCTTGTTCTTCTTTGCGACTCTGCAGAGAACACGAAACAGAAATGGCCACCAAGGGGATCCCAGGTGAGAGTCTCTCCCACAATTCCTTTCTGCAGTCGGCCTCAACACATGCCTTCTTAGTCTCTCTAAATAATTGTTCTGTTTAGTATGGACACATTTCCTTTTGCTAATGTCCGGTTCTGCCTCCACTGCTTGTGACCACCATGCTCATCTTGAGGTTGATGTTCATTCTGTTTCACTTTTCCTTCCGGCTGTGTTCTCTTGAGTGGGGCCTAGCCTGGCCAAGGACATCGTGCTATTGTGATAGGGCCCCTTGCACAGCTGAGTTTTGCTGTGGCCGCTCTTCCTTGACCTTCTTTCTTCCTCCTCTGTGACTGAAGGAGGTAGCTGGTGTCTGTCCCACGGAAGCAAATATCTCGGCAGCTCCAATTTGTGGAATCCAGTCATGCTGCCCAGGAATGGGCCACTTGCCTTCCACCTTGGCATGGCTCCTTAACTACCTGGGTTTTGTTCAGTTTCTTAGTTCATCCTTAAGAAAAGAGTCCACTTTCCCCACTATATATAACCCTTTTGTCCTTCCCAGAGTCTTTCTTGCCTTTGGCTGTATTTGCTAGGCATTCTTTATTTCTGAGTTTGCATCTTAAAATATTACTGGAACTTTGTGCTTAGTCCCTGAGGGATGTGGACTCACATGATCTCCCTGGCTCTTGGCCTGCACCCTACATCTCCCAGCCTGGGCCCTGTTACTGAGAAAACCTACTCCAGTGTTCCCCTCTGTTCTCAGAAAACCATCTTGTCTCTCAGAGCCATCTCCACATCCCACAAGCTCACTTGTGATGCCATCTCCCTCCACCTGTACACACTCCTTTCTCTACTTTTCCAGCTGTGTCCAGGCAACACTTTGGGGGATTTATCTTATTAAGGGGAAATGAAGTAGAAGAAGAGAAAGGCAACTGGCTTGCTCATTAGAGGTGTGAGGTATTTGGGGTTGGGTTTTTCTGGCCGTGTTATGTAGGTCTCAGTTTTTTTTTCTCCTTGGCTTCTGTTCACATTCCTCCTTTTGGCTCTTTTCAAACTGCTGTGTCCATTCTAGTGCTTCACTTTGACTCTGTTAAGCAAAATTAATGATTGTCAGCTTCTTCTAGTTCCAGTTGCGTACGTTTGTAAGTCTCTCTCTCTTCCTCACATCTCTTTCCTCTGACAGGTTGTGAGCAGGGCATTAAATCGAATGAGAATGGGAGAATCGCAGGTGGGAGGGGAAAGCTTTTTAAAGAGCCGATTTAGCAAAAGATATTGTTATTAGGTGTTCGGGTTGCTTTTTGACTCTTAGTGACCCCAAGTGACAGAATAGAACCAGTTTTCTTGGCTGTAGAATGGCCAGGAGTAGAGTTTCATTGGCTGCAATCTTTTCAGGTGGAGGCTGCCAGGTTTCTCTCTTCTGGAGCTGCTGGTTGGTTTTGAACACCCAATGTTCTTGTTAGCAACTGAGCACTTAAACTGTTACACCACCAGGATTCCTTTAAGCAAAGATCTCAACTCATTGTCATCAAGTTGGAACTGACTCATAGCTGACCCTTAGCGGGTGTCTGAGCTGTAAACTGCGCAGGAGGAAATTGTCTTTCTCCTTCGGAGCCACTGGTGGATTTGAGCCACCAGCGAGGTGTGGCCTTTGGTTCAGCAGTGAAACTCCCTGCAGACCACTCACCAGAGCTCCCGTTAATCAGAGACAGGCAACTCCATATAAAGTTTGGGGTATTTCAAAAGAGAGCAAAGCTTAAGACAATCCTGATAAATATCTTTTGTTCCCAGTTAATTGCTGGCGATGGAAACAGTCACGCAAGAGCTCTTGGTCTATTTGTGATCTTGGGCAGATAATGAGTGTCAGTCCCTTGAACACCTTTCAGAACCCACTGAGTGCGCTCTGGGAGCTTACCTACTCATTCTGAATAAAGCTGCAGAGCTGCACAGCATCGCGCCGAATGCTGCAGCCCCTAAGGTCTTTAATCAATGGCCTTTTCTGTGGCTCTTCATCTTGCCAGGGTGTGGCTGCCTCTCAGTACTTACCAGTTGTGTCCTATTTGGTTTCATTATCTGTACTACATGTGTTTGCACATCTGTAGTTATTTTTCTTCTGTTGCCCAGACACCTTTATAGCCACCGTTCTTATGTGTGGACTACAGCATGGAGTTGGAGACTTTTTGGGATCCTCCCCACCCCACCCACCTTAAAAAAACCCTTATGGCTTTGGGGAGATTGTGTTCAGATGAATCGGAATCGTTTGGCCCGAGATTGAAGCATGCCCTTGTGACTGGTGGAAATGCACCCCAGCCCACCTCTGGGCAGTTTTAATTCTGCGTAGGTCCTGGGTCCTGTGCCGAGAGGGGCCTCTATCCCGCCAAGGAGCCCTTGGTTTCCAAACTTAAACGTCTTTGTTGGACTTCGCTTGGGAGAGGAGCCTGCGCTACCACCTTGGAAAGAAAGTTTCTCTGTCCTTAGAGCTGGGGGCGGAGGGAGGGTGTGAAAGGGGGTCCACCGGCAGTTGCCTTTTCCCAATGTTTTCTCAAGCTGAGACTGAGCCCCATTCATCCCACTGACCGCGTGTGGCTCCATCGCCCCCAGACGGGGCCAGCCAGGCAGCCTGCAGTCTGCCTAGAGAACCTGATCCTCTAATACGACGATTAAATTTTAGTAAGTGAAAGAAAACAGCTTCAAACAAGAAGAAAGAGGGGACGCGAGAGTGGAACAATACTTGTTTTATGTAACCCCGAGAAGTGTCTGACAGCACCCCCTTCCCTGCAGGATATGAGAAGCCTTCGTCCATGGCAGCCAGCCCCCTGAGACCTCACAGCAGAAGGAGGCAGGGTGGGAGCCTGCTAACGTAAACAGTGACCCTGAAGTCCTGGAGTCAGTCCCCCTACTTTCTCCCTGCTCCCCTTCTCTCACTCTCCCACCCCAGCCTTCCAGGAAGGCAAACACAGAACACTGAGCAGCCTCAGGTTTAGGCCGGAGAAGAAAGGTGCTTTGTGAGGGGAAGGAAAACATTCCTGGGGGAGGCCGGGAGGGGGGAGGGGCATGAATGCCCCCTCAGTCTGGTGGAGTCGCACACCCCAGCCTCTCCCAGCTCCCCGAGAAGGGAGGTGGAGGGAGGAAGGCCAGGCCCCAGCCAGGAAGCTCTGGGCGTGGGCAGGGCTTGTGGGAATGATTTCATTGGAAAGGCCTGCGATATTTTTTCCCCTCCCGTGTGTGGTTCTTGGAGAAAGTTGGAGGTGGTGGCGATTTCAGTTGTCTTGGCCGCCGTGAGCGGGAGCTGGGCAGAGGCGCTGGGAAGTCTTGCTCCCAGGCTGGCCCTGCCTGACCAGCTTGCAGCCCCACTGCCCTGCACCCTCTGCCTCCCCCACCTGCCACCCTCTCCTACAACCCACAGGGCTTTCAGGGTCCAGGGGCTTTTTTGGTCTTTCATTTTTTTTTTATTTTATATTTTGAGGGTAGTAGATGCCACCTAAGGCCCTCTGTGCCCTCTACCAAGTGCTAAGATGTGGAAATAAGGCGTTGCCATTTTTGTTTCTATTTATCCATTCATTTTTAACTAAAGGCTTTTTTCCCCCTTCTCTCCAAACTGTATTCTGCTGTATTTCTCATGTTTAGTCTTCGAGCACTTCGACTGACCATGACCCGCTGGGTCCCCTCCCTCCTGGCTGGGGTAAGTACTGTCCCGCTTAGTGCTGCCCTCCTCTCCTGGGCACTTTCCTCTCTCCTGTCCCCCGGCCTCCCTCTTCAAGGCTCCCTGGCCCTTTCTCTGAGGATGCTCATTGAGAACTGAACTGGAACAGGTGATGGAGCGGGGAGGTTGGAAAGGCGCTGTCCTGTGCCTTGTTGTGTTCACCCGGCATAAGCCAGGGACTCCATGTGAGTAGGCCCTGAGCAGCGATGATACTGTTGAGTTCAGCGCCTGAGCTGCAATGTGCGCGTGCTCAGGAAACCCTCTTAACGCCAACTAAGACACTTAAACTCATTCCCAGAGTATCCGTTTCAAGTCTATGACTGCAAGGTGGGAAGCTTCGGTTGCTGTAACTAACCTTTCTTTGCAGCTCAGGTGGTGGGAGACTTCAGCCTAATTTTGACCTTTCTGTTTGTGAAAGGTAGGAAAGAAACAGAGGATGAGAGTTGAGAGTGTTGGGTGGTGACCCAGTGAAGCGCATGTCCCTGGTCACTAATGTGATGTTGTGCTGATGGCTCATGCTGAGTTCTTCTCGTTGCCGTCAGGAGCTGCCCCCTCTCCCAGTCTTTGCTAGGATTTATCATTGTTGAGCTAGTGGCTGCATGTGCAGGATTTGGGAGAGATTACGGGGAGCAGTGACTGTGCCAAATGGTTCCTTAGAGGTGGTGGGACTCTAAGCTGGGCCAAGGCCTATGTCAGTTCTGCAAAAATCTGTCCACTGTAAAGAGGGCAGTTACATTGGCATGTGCAGGGAGTCATTTATGTGTCAGACCATGAAGACAGTAAATACTGATTTAGTGGTATTCACTGGTGAGATTAAATTTGGAGGAGCTGCTCTCGCTGACAAGGCCAGAGAGCTGTGCGCTTAGGGAGCGGACAGTGACAGTAAAAGTAAAAATGCTGGGCCTGGAAAACCTTCCAGCATTTGAACAGGGTCCTCTTCATGCAGAAACTACTCCCCGACAGTAATTAAAGAGGCTGCATCATGTCCCTAGGACTCACAGAGTATCACTTAGTGAATTATCCCTGCATTCCAGGGCTTTCAGTAGGAGCCTTTTAGTCCGTCTGGTGGGAGAGAGCAGTTAATGCCACTTCCACATGTTTCTTGACTTTCCAGTAGGGAGTCCCAGGTGCATGCAGATGATCTGTTTCACTCCCTGAGCCAGTAAAAAGTCATTGGAAGGAACTGAAATGAAAGAGGATTAGCCCCCAAGGTCTCTCTCTAGGTAGTACAGAACTCATCAGCTTAAGCAAGATCTAATCGCCAGCAGAAACCATGGCCCAGGACCTGGGACCAGAGTTTATTTGTGGCTCGGCAGACGCAAGCAGTATAGCCCAGCCAAACGTGTTTCTTTCTGACTCAGTTCTACTGAATGCTGAGCCACAGGCAGGAGGGTTGTAAAGACGGGAAAATAAGAGGCGGTGGAGGAGGAAGCTAGGTGCCTGTCACCTTCTCAATCACAGAGCCTCTGGGGCTCTGTGTTGGCCTCCCCAGGGCTGTGCAGGGGTCCTCCCCAGGGATGGTTAAGAGTGAACAGAAAGAGCAGCAACACCAAACGTGGGCTGTGTTCTCGGGAGCCAGCTCTCGGAGCCACCAGCTGTTCCTCTTTCTCGTCACTCCTGGTCCCTTTCTGCCCTCAGAGGTATCCTCCTTGCGATGGGCCACTGAGTCAGGATGTCAGCTTAGACCCACATCTGCTCCTCAGCAGCTGTGATGCTGGCTACTAGACAAGCTCCTCTCAGATCTGTTTCCTCCTAAAACAAGGATGCCAGCTGCTCACCGAAGGCTGTCCTAGTCCCTAAATGATGGTGTTGCACGCAGTGGGATTGTTCCTTGAGCCACATAGCAGGCAGTGGCAGGAAGGAGGGACAGACCTCAGACAATTGGGTGGGCCTGGGCTGTCATTCCAAGCACTCATGTTTGTGGGGAGCAGCCCTCCTGCCCTGAGACCTTGTGGGAGTCTTCCTTCTGTGGGACAGTTGCATAGACCTTCATAACTCAAAGTCCACTGAGGTTCCTCTTTTCCTTTCGACTCTATATTTGAAATGCCTCAGATATCTCCTACCAGGTAAAGCAGGAAGTCAGAGGTAAGCCAAGAACCTGGGTTGATAGCCTGGACATTGCAGCCTAATTTTTGAGGGCAGGAGGTGTTTTCCCAGTTCTCTCTAGCTTCTTGTAGCTTCTGTTCTTATGGTAGCTTCTAGAAAGATGACTCTTATTCTTTGGTTTCACCATCTTTGTAAAGGAGGGGATGCCCTTAGTGCCCTGTGTTTTCAGGTCAGGAACAGGCTTGAAGGCCCAGGAGCTTCTTGGGAATGGGCCCCTTTGGGCTCAGAGCCTGCCCTTGGCTTTGTCTCTCCGCTTCCCTGGGAGCTGGTGGGCTACCCTCCCAACCCCTCTCAGAGCATATTGTCACCAGCTGAAGTCTGGACATTCCCGGATTCAGACCTGCCCCAGTAATCCCAGGGCCGTCGGCAGTGAGCCAGCTAAATGCAAGGGATTGAAGGATCCCGAGGAGACAGAATGTGTATGCCTGGATCCTGACATGTGTCTATCCAGAGCTCCCACTCAGTGGAAGAATGAGCGAGCCCCGTCCGTGTCCACCACCCAGCAGTCGGGACATTTATAGCCTAGAGGCTGTGCTATGAGTTTTGGAATAAAACCAGCTTCAAACAGAAGAGCAGGGAAGGTCCTCGGACCCGGTGGTCAGTGTTGATCAGAGTGCTGTAGAGCCGTACGCGACAGAGGCACCGGGGTGTGCTCTGACTACAGGACAAGGCAGTGACAGCCTGGGGTGGGGTGGGCTGTGGGCGGTGGCTGTGCCTCCGGTTTGCACACAGCTGGATGTAATTACTGCCTGGGTTCAGCCTGGCAGCTCCCCCTCGGTACTGCCACCCCCTCCCTCCAACTCACACAACCACCAAAGACAGCCCTTGTTCTTACATTGAACATGTGTCGACCACCCCTCTGCCTTCTCTTTGTTCTTTCCCCCACTGACCAGTGTGAGCAAGGTGACTTTCATTGGTCAGCTGTCGCTCACAGGTGAAGTCTGCAGCAGAAATCCAGCCCCATAAGGTGGAGGGCGGGCAGGGGAAAGGACACATGTCACAAGTGGGTCCATCTGACTGTTCTTGACTTCCTCCCACAGAGAAGAGGCAGGACAATGGACGGGTGTATTACGTGAACCACAATACCCGCACTACCCAATGGGAGGACCCTCGGACCCAAGGGTAAGAATGCGGCTACCAGGAGGGCTGGAGGTGGCCTCCGGTGGCTTCTGTCTTCCAGGGCTGAGGTTCAGGGACCTGGAGCCTTGGGCAAGTGTCCCTAGACCCTTACGATACAATGTGGATCCACCAGGGCTTGAAACCTGCTTCATAATTTGGCCTCCCTGGTGGACAATGGGTGGACTGCTAGTTTTTATTCATGTTGAGGCCACCCTTTATCTGATCTCCAAAAGACTGAGTGGCCCACTCAGGCCAGTGCTGTCCACCAGGGCCGGGTGCTATAGAAACGAACTTACCCCTGGAGACGTGCTGGGCATGTGGGCCCCATAGAGCCTCACTGAAAAAAGAGATCCTGCCGGGCACTGTGGGTTCCCTCGCCGTCCTTATCCCTTTCCCCCTGTGTTTCCAGCATGATCCAGGAGCCAGCTCTGCCCCCAGGGTGGGAGATGAAGTACACCAGCGAAGGCGTGCGGTACTTTGTGGACCACAATACGCGCACCACCACCTTCAAGGATCCTCGCCCGGGGTTTGAGTCTGGGTAAGGACTTTGCATGGGCAGCCTCAGTGTGTGTTAGCACAATTTGTTCCACCCTGGGGCCCGGAGGCTGAGGAGGCCAGGCTTTGGGGTGACTTGCCTGTACGTGTTTTCTGCTGCTCTTTGCTCCCTCTAGTGGCCAGACCTACGGGCATGGTTTGTTGTTTGGGAAGGAAACTCAAAACCTCTCAAACTCCTTGTCCTGAGTCAGAAACAACTCATAGCTGACTGTACAGCAGATTTTCACAAGCCATACATTTCACAGGAGGAGAATTCCCATCTTTCTCCTGTTGAGCTGCTTGTGGATTCAAACTTTGAGTTAGCAGCACAGTTCGTTATTCCACCACCAGAGCCCCTCTGAAAGCAAGAGATCTGGCTTTCCAGGTTTCTTTTTTACCTTTCAAAAGGTGCCTCTGCAGAGCCTCTTAAAGGCAGACCCTTCCTTTCTTTGATGCCTTACTCTCCTCATCCTTAAGTTAACAAAGCATCAGCTTTCCTCAGGGCTTACAAAAATAAATAGCTGACTTTTGAGTTACTCAGATTCTAGAACATTTCTGCTCTCCTCAGGACAAAGCAAGGTTCCCCTGGTGCCTATGACCGAAGTTTTCGCTGGAAGTATCACCAGTTCCGCTTCCTCTGCCACGTGAGTCCTCCTTCTGTGGCCACCCTGGCAGAAGGGATGATTAAACTGTCCCAGCGCGTTTGTCCCGCTGAGCAGCAGGGGCTGGGGTGTCCGAGGCTCATGTCAGGACCGCTCACTCACTCAGGCTGTCTCGATCTACTTTAAGCGAAGGTGGGATCCGGGGGCCAGCTTGTGTTAGGGGACCACACTCTCTGGCTCCAGACCTGGGCTGATGGCAGTGCCTGTTTGTACACCTGGGCGTCACCTAAGGTCCTGCTGGGGTGTGTTTTTTCGGTTCTTTGCAGTCCAATGCCTTGCCGAGCCACGTGAAGATCAGCGTTTCCAGGCAGACACTCTTTGAGGATTCTTTCCAGCAGGTAAGCGAGAAAGCAAAAGCCCTCTTGCCATGTCCCCATCTTCTCTCTATCTGGCTTGTTAGACTCTGCACAGCTTCTGAGGGCTGGGCCTTGGTGACCTGTGTCTTCTGGATAGCAGATCTTAGAGCCCTGTGGTTCCTCACCTGTCCTGCCCCCTGCCCCCAGCCTGCAGTGGATGGGAGGGTGCCAGGCAGCCCATGGGGTGCTGTCTCCTCAGATCATGAACATGAAGCCCTACGACCTGCGTCGCCGGCTGTACATCATCATGCGTGGTGAGGAGGGCCTGGACTATGGCGGCATTGCCAGGTGAGCCTAGTGCCCGAGAAAGGCCACCACCAGAAAGCTGCCCCCTTCTTGTTCAACGCCCCCTGCTGCCCCTGCTCCAGAACACTTAACAGTCTGTGCTGGAGCAGTGTCCCGGTCCCCTGCTGGACCTGTTAGTTAATGAATCATGGGCACACTGGGTTCCCAAGGGAAGGGCATGGGACGAAGGCTTTTTTACCAACCCCTGTAATCACCTCTCCGCTTCAGTACCAGACGTGCCAGGTCAGAGCAGCTCAGCGTGTATACCTAACGTTACTCGGGCCTTGGTCAGGGCTAGGTTACATGCCATGAGCACAGGTCAGTGAAGTTAAAACTGACGTAACCCTACAAAAGGCTCCAGAGCACCATCTTGCCTGCCCCTCAGTCCAGCTAAGAGCGTGACCAGCCCTGGAGAATTGTTGCCTTGAACGGGGCAGCAGGCCTGGCAGAGAGGAGACGAGCCGAGGCCTATGGTGACTGTCTGCCCAGTACTTCTCCCGGTCTGGGGTGTCCTCTCGCTTGGTGTCGGGTTAACTGGCTCTGTTCTCTGTCTGCTGGCTGCGGCCCCTGTGCATTGATTGTTCTTTACCCCCATGGTGACTTTCTCTCCAGGCTCTGCTTGGTGGGCTTCTGGTGTGTGTCTCTCTCTCTGTGTCCTGCCAGTGGTTTTACCCTATGGTAGGTTACGTCATGCTGTTCTACCACAGGGTAGAACCACGGACAGGATACTGGGGCACCCTCTGCATCGAAGGACGCCGCGTCTGCCAGCCACAGACAGCCCACAGCAGGGCCTGGCCCCTGGGGTGCCCCCTGCTGCTCTAGCTGAAGCCATGAGGCTCGTCCCTATGGTGCACCGAGCTGCCGAGCCGTGGGTGTTAGTTTAGCTGCATGCGTGGACGTATGGGAAAGGGCACGGTGCTGGGGCTTGGGATGAGGGAAGGGAAGGTGCCGCCGGTGCAGGGTGCATGGTTAGAGTTTTCAAGGGTCAGGACTTACAGCAGTGTTACTGTTCACTCATATTATGCTGCCCACTTGGGCTCAGTGGAAGCAGTTTTGTGATATCTAGGTTTGGCACCTGGTACCCTTCTTACAAGAAACTTCCATCTGCTGGCAAGTGGGCACAATATCCCAATTTTTGTCAGAAAAAGAGCTTGTGGACCACATGCAGGAAAGTTATTGAATAAACGTTCCTGTCTATGATATTGCTACTGAGGGCTCTTTCTTGTGCAGTGCTCAGCCTACACAACTCTGCATTGTGGCCCCGGGTGCAAGGAGCTGCTTTACTATTAGAAGCACTGTTATGTGTCCAGAAGTCTGTAAAATCACACATCTGTACCATCTGGTGCCATACAGGCAGGCTTCCTTGAGCATCATTGTCACATGCCCTTGTCATTCTGGTTCGCCCTCGATCTAGCCCCACCTTGCTGACCACCTATTAATACAGATTAGCCCAGCTACTGAGATGATCTGGGGGCACAGCCCCCCAGGACATGTTGTGTCCAGACTACCTGAGAACTGGAGGCTGAGGAGCCCAGGCCTTTGTGCAGGTGTGCTGCGAGGGGTCCTCACCCCTGTTTTCTCTCTCTTCCCTCCCAGGGAGTGGTTCTTTCTCCTGTCCCACGAGGTGCTCAACCCCATGTATTGTTTATTTGAATATGCCGGGAAGAACAATTACTGTCTGCAGATCAACCCTGCCTCCTCCATTAACCCCGACCACCTCACTTACTTCCGCTTCATTGGTCGCTTCATTGCTATGGTAAGAGGGCTGTTTGTCCTTCCTCTTCCCTCCCCAGGAGAACTGTGCATGGGGTTACCAAGGGATCCACACTTTCTCCAAGACTTCCTGGAAGGGTGGCAGCTGAGGAAGCCAGACCCTGTGTATGCAGTGAGCTTCACTGGCATAAACAGCCACCCCTCAAATTGATGCTCACCTTATCCTCGGAGAACTCCTAATCTAAAACCGCAGAAGGCTAGGAAAACTGGAGCTTTCTCAGTGATCACCCCAGAGCTGTTGGAAGGACCTCTTTGTTTTGAGTTGTGTGGGGCTTGTCACGGGCACACCCAGGGGTCCCTGGCCACAGCGCTCCATTTCGAATTAGGTGTGTCCTGGGTGATGGGACTGAGTGAAACCATCACCACATGCCTGCTGCCCATCTGGGGACAGCCACCATCTGTTACATGCCTGCTGGTGGGCATGCTTGGAACTGTCTGATTGAGACCATGCAGCTTTCTGGAAGGATTTGGAAGCAACACCTGCTTAGAACAGAGGCCTAGTAGACCAGGGTGAAGGAGGCATCCGTCAGAATGCAGGAGTGTGGTGGAGAGGGGCCTAGTATCTGTATTTACCCAAGAATGGGGTTTCCGTGTGACTGTGGAGGTGGGGAATCTTATCACGTGTATCTATGTGAAGAGCCTGGTGAGTGTGGGGAACCAGGATGGAGAGGGTGGAGCCCATGGTGCCTTTACAGTCCAGCTGCCATGTTTGGTGGTTTGGATGGCCTCTGTGTTGTTTTGGCCTTGCTTTCTTCTGACTTCTTGAGTGCTCTGCCCTGTACCCCTCTAAGGAGGACCCGCAGGCCCTCAAGAGCCTGTCCCTTCCCTGTCATCTGCAAGTTCTTGGCCAAGGTGCTCGGCTTAGGAAGTGGGCACATTCTTCCCAGGTCCAGAGACCCACCCAGCCTAGCAACCAATAGAACAAACTAATAAACCCCAGACTATTACTCACCCTGGCTCGCCAGCTCTCACTGTCTATGGTGTCTGCATTATTTTTGGCTGCCTCTGCCTCCTGCTCTGAGAGCCAGTGAGTCAGGGCTGCCACCTGGAGCGGATCTGAACCACGGGTCTTCTGTGAGCACAAGCAGCCAGGGCTGGCTTTGGGCATCCTGGGCAGACAGGAGCCGGACTTGTGTTCTTGAGCCGATGGGCTCAGCTCGGTCCCTTGATCTGAGGATGGGATGAGTCCATTTAGGGTCCAAGGCAGGACCAAAGAGTGTTTTCCATTTTCCGGACCCTCCCTTGTAGCCCCCTAAAGTTCCCAGATGCTAAAGTCCTCTCTGGAAGGAAGGCAGGTCACAGCACCTGGGCTTTGACTCAGAGTATCCTAGAGCCTGCCTTGGACCTTTGCTGTGTCTCTTTGTTCTTCAGGCCCTGTACCATGGGAAGTTCATTGACACTGGCTTCACCCTCCCTTTCTACAAGCGGATGCTCAACAAGAGACCCACCCTGAAAGACTTGGAGTCCATCGATCCTGAATTCTACAACTCTATCGTCTGGATCAAGTGAGTCCTCCTGTGTCTGGTAGCTGGAGGAGGAAGTTCTCTGCCTGAGGAGGGGACACGATGGCGTCCTTCTCTCTGTCGGAGTGGACCTCTAAGCTCCATTCAGCCTTGGGACCTGCTTGTGTGTAGATGAGTTGCTCTTAGGTGCCCCTGTGGGCAGCACAGAGTGCTCTACTTGCATCAGAAAGATCTCCCAGCCATTGTTCAGGATTCTTGTCCACCTCTGAGCCCTTGAGTGTTATCATGGGTATGAAAAGTAGGTAATGGAGCAGGATTTAGGGAAGACCCTTCTAAGAAAGGTATCATCCCTCCTCCTCCTCCCCCATCTCTAGAGAAAACAACCTAGAAGAATGTGGCCTTGAGCTGTACTTCATCCAGGACATGGAGATCCTGGGCAAGGTGACAACCCATGAACTGAAGGAAGGGGGTGAGAGCATCCGTGTCACAGAGGAAAACAAAGAAGAGTACATCATGTAAGTCTCACTGCTGGGGTGCACCTCCTCCACGGCAGTGTGAGGTGGGGCACAGGGAGAATGGATAGCAGGAGACACAGTGGGTCAGAGAGAAGGGGTTTCCTATGTTTATGTCTGGGGACCTGACGGGAGAAGGTCTACGTGTAGCTCATAGTTTCTCAGGCACCATCCAGCTGCCTGATGAGCCAGAGCCCAGGGCGCCTTGTTCCCAGCTCTTGGTTGCTCTTCCTCACTCTCTTCCCCACATGGGGACTTCAGACTGCCAGCTGAATTTCTCTGGAGAGACATACAACTTAGATGCCTCCACCTTCTTTTCCTAACTAAATGGAAACGTTTCTGCGTACTTAAATTTATTTCACGCGCATCTGCGTGTGGGTTCTCCCAAGCACACCCCCAGGTTCCTCAGTTGAGCCTTCAATCTCCGTACTTCTATGTCTCGGAAATGTAGTCAGTGATGGTGACCGCAGAGGTGGATGGGGTGGTGGGCATGGCACGGGTGGTGATTTGAAAGACTCCCGTAGGTCCATGCCACCGTGATGCCTTTTGTTTTTATTGTGAAAATAAACATAACAAAACATACACCGGCTCACAGATTCCCATGTATACAGCTTGGAAGCATTGATGACATTCTTCCAGTACAACCGTTCTCACTATCCTTTCCAATCAATTTCACCACCACTAGCATACACTCAGTGTCTTCTAAGCCAGATGTCCCCCGATGGACCCCACGTTCCTCCATTTCTGTCCCTGGTAACTACCACTGACCACTGACTTCTGTGTATTTGGTTATTTCACATAAGTGAGATCACACATTTATCCTTTTATGACTATTTTTGCTCTCTTATTTTTTTAAATAAGATTTTATCTCCTGATCTCTTTAACAATTTTAGTTTTATAGAAAAATTTCCCGGAACTTAACACACACACACACACACACACACACACACACACACTCACACACTCTTTCTCTCTCTCTCTCTTTCTCTTTCTTTCTCTCTCTCTCACACTCGTTTGTGTGGTACATTTCGTACGGTTGATGAACCTGATTTTCATTTTTGTCTTTTTAGTTGCATTTGAGTGGTCCATTTCTTAGAACTGATGGCCTAAGACTGACAGATTCTCGTTAGCAGAGCCTGTTGTTTCATTTAGTGTTCATCCACCTAGTGGAGCATCAGCACTTTACTTCCTCTGGGGCAGAATAGTATTGCTTCATGTGTGTACCACATTCTGCTTAGCCATTGATAGGCTAGTTTTGAGGTGTCAAGGTGACCCCTCCGTGTCTGGTGTCCTAGAAGCTGACTCTCAGCTAGCCCCTGGTCTCTGTAAGAACAGTCGCGCAGGTAAGCAGCTGCACCTGAGCAGCGGGCGTGGGTCTGCACCGACTTGGGCTGTTCTGTCTCTGGTCTCTTAGGCTGCTGACTGACTGGCGCTTCACCCGTGGTGTGGAGGAGCAGACCAAAGCCTTCCTGGATGGCTTCAATGAGGTGGCTCCCCTGGAGTGGCTGCGATACTTTGATGAGAAAGAGCTGGAGGTGAGTGCCCAGAATGGTGGGGGCTCTGCTTCCCTATTCCTGGGCTAACACTGCTCATTGACCTGCACTGTGCACCCATGAACCTCACCAGTTAACCACCCACCCTGCTTGATGAGAACAGGAGGCAACAGGGCAGATGGTTTGGTTTGGGTGCTCAGCACCCTCTCCGTGGTCCCTCCTTTTGAGGGGGTCCTTGTCCAAGAAAATGAGAACTCACTGTAATCTCTATCATTACAGCTTTCAGCAAAAAGTTGAAAATGTTGAGGACCGTTTCATTTGCTGTGGGGCCGTGGTGGGAGGTGTCTTGGTTGGCTGGCTGGCGGAGGCCCCCTTGGTGGGGACGCCGGCACGGGGTTGTGACACGCTCGCCCTCCGCAGCTGATGCTGTGCGGCATGCAGGAGATAGACATGAGCGACTGGCAGAAGAACACCATCTACCGGCACTACACCAAGAACAGCAGGCAGATCCAGTGGTTCTGGCAGGTGGGTGAGCGGCTTTGGGACAACTGCATGCGCTTAGTGCCCAGGACAGAGTGAACTGAGCTCTTCACATACGCGGGCTTTGTTGGGAAGTTCCGTGTCCATACAGGAGGAAGAATGAGCGGAGTGTTTCTGTGCTAACTGTACATGTGCGTCTTTTTGTGGGCTTGGGGAATGGTAGACTGGGTGCATGGCAGAGCCGAGCGCTGGGCCCAGACAGCCACTCACTGGCTGTGGCTTATTGGTTGTAGGTGGTGAAGGAGATGGACAATGAGAAAAGAATCCGGTTGCTACAGTTTGTCACTGGCACCTGCCGCCTGCCTGTGGGCGGGTTTGCAGAACTTATTGGTATGTTTCCCCTTGCCCTGGTGGTGACCTAGGATTGGGGATGGGTTCCCCTCATCCCCCATCAGCCTGTTCATGGGGGGTGGGATGCCCCGCAGGGCTGTGCCTAGCTTGGCTGTGAGTGGAGTCACTGCTCTAGGAGAGCACATGGATGACATTGCTGGTATGTTTCTTTGCTAACAGGTAGCAATGGGCCACAGAAATTTTGCATTGATAAGGTTGGCAAGGAAACCTGGCTGCCCAGAAGCCACACATGGTGAGCATGCTGGGAGTAGTGGGAGGGCCCTGGCACCCTCGTCTGGATGAGCTGCAGGGGTGGTCCCCTGGGCAAGACTGCGTGGGGCCCCGACTCCAGGACTGTTGTGTGGCTCCAGGATGTTGGGTGGGAGGAGGAGCCAAGATGTGAGAGATTCCCTCACCCCTTTTGGGAGTCTCTGCAACAGTTAAGCACTTACAGTTGTACCAGGCATTATATATTGACGCCCTTCTGCTTGAGTGGACTGAGCATTGCACCCTCATCACCCCAGGTGACCTGTCCCCTCCCAGGCTCCTTGACCTTCTATAATCCAGGAGCCTACAGCGGTTAGGACCCAGTGTAGCTGAACCCCTGGACCCTGGCCCATAGCTGGCTAGCCAGTGAGCGTGTTTGAGCCAGAGTCCAGCCCACCTGACAGTGAATGATGGCGGCCCCCTCCCAGCCTGTTAGAGACCTGACCTGCCACATGCCAACTGTTGCCCTCTCCTCTCTCCAGTTTCAACCGCCTGGACCTCCCCCCATACAAGAGCTATGAACAGCTGAAGGAGAAGCTGCTGTATGCCATTGAGGAGACCGAGGGCTTTGGGCAGGAGTGACTGATGCTGTCCCCTTCTTCCCTCCACCACACACGTAATGTGTCCTTGCCCCAGAGGACACTGACCGTGAGGCCATCGGGAGGCTCCTGCAGGGTGCTGACCCTGCCTGGGGAGCACACGGTCACCATGCTGGTGGCAGCAGAGCCTGACGCCAAGAGGCCTTGCTTCCCACCCGTCACCCACTACTGGTGGCAGCTGAGAATAAATCCGGCTTGCCACCTCTGCCCTCATCCCCTGCACAGTTTGGAGGGTGGACCCTCTCCATAACACTTACCCGCTCTGTCCTGATGCCAGCCCTGGGCATGAGCATGCGTGCCGCAGGCGCCTAGCTGGGGGACTACTGCAGGGACCCCAGGCTGGGTGTGCGTGAGGACTTCAGGCTCTTGAGGTAGCTCTCTTGGAATTAAGCCAAGGTTCTTTGCCAGTAGAGAAGGTTTTGTTTGAAATGGAACTTTCCAGAAATCTGTATAAGTGATGGTCTTTTGACCTCGGGGTCTCAGCCTCCTTTCCTTCCAGGACTCCAGCTATGCAGGTAGGAAGCAAAGGCCCCATCTCTCTCCCCTCCAGTTCAGGTCGGTCTGCTCTTTCATAGAAAACAAAGGTTGCACAAGCTGCTTGGGTCCCTGTGGGTGGAAGTGGTCAACTCCCTCTGACATTTGCCTCCTTTCCTAGGTAAACTTGAAGCCTTTTGTGTGTCTGGTTGTTTTATGTTTCATTTTGGTATGCTGCTGTCACCCTCTGTTAGGAGCTGGTGCACTGGGCATTACTGGGACCTTGAGGCACCAGGCCAGCCACGGGTGTCCCAAATAGTGGTTCCTCTTGGCACACAAGCTTAGGTGGCTCAGGGTCACGGTGGTCTGGTCCCCAACAGAGCAAAGGGTCAGTATCTTGAGCACCGCTCTAACCCTCCTGCTGCAAGAAAGATAGAATCCCCCTCTCTAGTTAAAGCTGCTCGGGCAGCACTGGTGACTGGACACCGGGACTCCTGGCGCTCCTGCCACCCTGAGCAGAGTGCTCTGTGCCCCAGCCAGCTGCAGTATTCATCTGTGGGTAGTAGTGGCTTTAGCTGCACATAAGAAACAATGAACACCAGCAGAAGGGCTCAGAGCAGCTGCAAGTGGCCTACTGCCATTTCTGGAGCTCCCCCCAGCCTCCATCACAGGATTTACTGATGTCCTGAAGGTGGATGTACCCTGGGATATTGTAGTGACCTGCAGTCCCGGCCAGCGCCCGTGCCCTGTGCCTGATTGTCCCCAACCCCGAGGCAGCTGGTCCTGGGATCCTTCCGACCTCCCCTGTCCCACGGCGGTCATCCATGGCCCGCTTGCTCTTGCACGCTAACTCCAGCAGCCCCCTCCCCGCAGCTCCTCTGTACCTTGTCAGTGTCTCACTGCAGCGTCTCTGCACGCGGCGTGGGTGGGAGCTGTCGTGTGAGGTCTGGATGCAGCTCACCGCTGCTGAGAGCGTGTCCATGTGTATATACGTGTATATGACTGCGTTGTCTGTACGGAGTGCCCTTCTGGTGCACTGGGTTGGCCACCAGACCGTTTTGTAATGCCCACCCTCTCGCCTCATATTGCCAGTTTCTTGTGCAATAAACAATCAGCAGCCGTGGGTGATGTTGATGTGGATGTCTCCAGAGTCACTGCCCTCCTGCCCCAGAACCCCACTTGTTCTATGAGTTGCTGGTTTGAGGAATACATGACAAGCAGGACTGTCACAGATGTGGGAAGGGTGCCTGAGACTTTGACTTGGACCACTGATTTCACCCAGCAGTCAGCTGCCTCTGGATACTCGTATCTCTGCCTCCTTGGCCAGCCCAGGGTTCCTGTGCATTTTCTGTGGGTACCGATTGTTTTGGCTTCAGAAACCACCTCATGGGAATAGTTACATTCAGAGACAACATACACAGTGACTTCTGAGGTCATCATGGGCTTGCCACCTGCTTTTTTGTTTTTGACTGTTTAAGGTTTAAGGATGGGACAGATGACCACTGTGCTGGGTGTTTTGGTGCATTTGACATGGACAAGACTATGCTGGATGGGTGCTGGCCATGACTTTGCCCTCACTCACAAGAGGCAGTGCTGTTCACAGGGCTGGAGTGGAATTCACATCCCACCCAGACGCTTCTTTGCTTAATAGGACTGGGCCGTACTTTGAAAACATTAGTGGAAGAAGTCCACGTGTGATTCACACTACTTTATTCACTGAAAGAAAACATGCTCAAGTGGGAATTGTTCTCACAACCCCTGTCCCCAGAAGTGACCACCGCTGTTTGCTGTGAGCTTCCCAGATGCCTTATTATCTACACACACTGAAAAAATCATACCCAACCCATTGACCCGGAGTTGGTTTTGACTCAGAGGAGAACTACCCCATAGGATTTCCTAGGCTGGAAATCTGTGCAGAAGCCAGCTGCCACGTGTTCCTCCTGTGGAGCAGACAGTTTAAGGCACTGACTTTTTGGTCAGCAACCAAGTATTTGGACCCCTGGGGCTCCTTTGTGTGTTTGTGTGTGTGTGTGTGTGTGTATGTATATATGTATATGAAAAACAATTTTTAAATATACTGTGTTGAACAGGGAGCTCTGGTGGCCTAATGGTAAGGAGTAGTACTGCCAACCCCAAAGCACAAAGTTCAAATCCACCAGCTGCTCCACAGAAGATGGGCAGTCAACTCCCGTGCAGTTTACCGACTCTGAAAAGCCGTGAGTCAGTTCTGATGTGAAGCCAAAACAAAATCGTGTTCAACAGCATGCTTATTGGATTAGCTGAGATTGTCCATTGTTTTGTCCACCCAGAGCTACTTTATTCCTTAACCACTGCATGTTTCAGAGGAGGGTGGTCCTGTAACACATCTGTCTCTTGTGAGCATTTCAGTGTGTGGCTCGGGGCTGAGAACTTTTGAGATGCTTAGGGCAGGACTTGCATATGAGCCCTGTTGCTCTTTAAAGCGTTCTAGAATTTAGATCCCTGACTTTGCCCCCTTTATTTTTAAGATTTTTAAGGTTTCTAAAATTCAACCAGGCTGCCTCTTGGAGGCAAGAATTTTGAAACTCTCTCACATATTTTGGGCATGTGGCCGGGAGGGAGCAATCCCTGGAGAAGGACATCTTGCTTGGAAGGGTGGAGGGAGAGCATAGAAGAAGAAGACCTTGCATGAGATATGTTGACAGAGTAAGTAACGGGTAATGGGGTACATGTGCCATCGACAGTGAGACTAGCTCAGGATAGGGCAGAGTCTGGAGCTATTGTACATAAAGTCGCTATGAGTCACAGGCAACTCCATAACCACATAATTAAAAGGAAACATCACAGTGAGAGGCCTTCCTCACCTTTTTGGTCCTTTAGTCCCTTTGACTGCTCTTGAGGGAACTCTTGCAACTTCCAACCCCTTTCAGACAGATGTAAACAGATCCCACAGGTTCTGCCTTGTGTAAACTGCCCTTCCATAAAGGACCTTGTTTTCCCACTTGTGGAAGGTATCTCTCGCCGTAAATGGAATCTTTGAGTGCTCCTACCTGTTTTTCCCACCTCTCAGCTTTGGACAGATGTCTTCTCTTCTCGTTTTTCTACAATCATAGGTGGTTTTGGGTTGTTGTGTTGGGGTTTTGTTTTTGTTTTTGTTTTTTTATGTCTGAGCTCTGTTCTGTCACCAAAGGAAATCTGTATCTTTTTAAAGTGGTTGTTTACATTTTTGTAATGATGTACATTTTGTTCACCCCAGAACTAAGTAGTATAATAGAATCACTTCTTTCTGCAACAGCTTTCCCTCTGACGTTTCAGATGGCCTCTCTTTGCCTTTATTATGACCTTCTCTCCCCTTCTATTACTGTGTTTTAAGTAAAATTAGATAAGCAGGAAGTTCACCTCACCCCCTTATGCTCTGTAATAAGTTCCTGATGTCATTGCCAAAGGGACAAAATTCTTAAGAAGTGAGGAGCGTGTTGGAGTGCTTATTGGCCCTCATCGTTCCTGCTGGGGCTCCCAGGCACCAGAGAGACTCATTACATAAGGTGGGACCCCAGATCTGGAAAGCTCAGCTCTTGCTACCACTGCTTTTCTGTACTGGGGTACCTGGCACCTTCTAGAAAAATACCAAAGATCAGTGTGCTCCATTAAAAGGAGTGGAGGTTAGGAAGAACAGGCTTTCCTGGTTCTTGTGCGCGTGTACGTGCATACCTACATACTACACAGACACCCACATTGTCGACTGCCATGGTGTGGTTTAGACTCAAGGCAGCCTCATGTATAACAAAAGGAAATTATTGTCCCTGTGCCATCTTCACAGTCAGAGGTGTGTTTCAGTCAGTTGTGACCATCCTGCCGATCCATCTCATTGAGGATTTCCTTTCTTTTCGCTGGTCCTCTTCTTCACCAAACAGAATATCCCTTTTTTTAGCCACTAGGCTTTACTGATGGCATGTCCAAAGTAAGTGAGCCAGTCTCACTAGCCTTGTTTCTGAGGACTTTGATTTCGTTCTGTCTACGACTGATCTGTTTGTTCTCCCGGCAGTCCACGGCATACTCAGTATTCTTTGCCAACATGGCTGTTCCTTTTAACTTTTGCATTAGCTACCTTTCTGAGACAATTGAAAAGGCGATGGTCAGGTACATGTTAGTCATCAAGGTGACATCGTTGAAGCCTTTTGCAGCAGGTTTACCCAGTTCCGTATATAATTTTAAAGAACTACTTTATCCTGTTATTAGCTACCATACAGTTTGATGTCCTCCTTTCCTGTCACCCTCTTGAACAGCAGAAAGAAATCCTACCCTTCCCACTATCTGTTGAGAATCGGGCTGTTAGGATCCATAGGATTTTCACTGGCTCATATTTCAAAAGTAGATCAGCAGCCTTTCTTCCTACTCAGTTAGTCTAGAATCTCAGCTCAATCTTGCACAGCATCTTAGCAATGATCTTCTTATCTCCACTGACCGATGGGAGGAAAACCTAAAACCCTTGGGGTGGGCCAGCAGGCAGAAAAACCCAGCAGGATTTGACATTGAAGTCTCAAGGCAGAATTTCTTCTCTGGGAAAACCAATTTTTGCTCTTAAAGATCTGAACTATTCAGATGAGGCTCACATTATCTAGGATAATCGCTTTAAAACTCAAGTGATTGTAGTGTTAGCCACATCTATACAACACCTCACAACAACACCTGGACTACTGTGACTACATAACTGGGTACAGTGGGCGAGCTAAATTCATACATAAAACTAACCATCCCAGGGCCTCAAATGCTATCAACCACATGAGCTTGAGAACAAACCTTTCTCTGTTGGTCACTGGTCACTCAGCGCTTTACAGATTGTTACTGTGAGCAGAAGCCCCCCCCCCATCCCTCTCCTCAAGCTGTGCCCAGACTCCTGCAGACACTGATAGTAAATGTGTGTTGTTTTCAGTTGCTAAATCTTGTGGGATTTGTTCTGCAGCGATAACCAATATTCCATCCTTGGTCAAATCAAATGTCCTTGGATTAGCATCTCTTCCTTCTATGCTCTGGGTCCTGATTGTTAATAAAAGGCCCATGGTGTGGAAATCATCTGTAGGTTTAAAAATGCAGTAACCAGGAATAGAGGCAGAAAGATACTCTGTTACTCTTCTTTTTCTTGAGGAAGGAGAATTTTGGGAAGTTGGAATAATTTTTATCCCTTCTCCCATCCTACAAGGGAGCGCTCGTGGCTTAGTGGTATGGAGTTGTGCTGCCAACCCAAAGGTGAGCAGTTAGAATTAACTGGCTGCTCGGCTAGAGAAAGATGGGCAGTCTCCTCCTATGCAATTAAACTGCCTCTGAAAACCTGCTGGAGGATCAACTGAGTCGGTTCCGCCTCGATGGTACAGAACAACCACCCATCCTACAGCCTGGTAGTATTTGCCTGGAGGCACTGATGGTCTCGGTGGCCTTGGGTCTGACCCATCCTGGGCCTTTGCCTGTCTGCTGTGGCTGCCATGTGTGAAAGGTGGGAGAGATTTGAGTGTTTATGTGCTGAGGGGTAAGAACTAGACATGAAATCTGAATTGAGAATGGATAATAGACGATCTAGGGAATTCAGTGGGTTATTTTGGTTTATAATATAGTCATTTGCTAACATTGGTCAGACTGTAATGTGCCTAGGGATTGTGTGAAGGGGTGTATCTAGGAACAAGTGCCACCCTGCAGAGCAGCCACACAGTGGAGCAAGTCTGAGGACACTTAAAACTGTGGTCCTCTCTTCCACATGTACGTGGAGAATGTCTTAGATTCCCGGAAATTCCAAGTCAGCAGGCTGAGATTCAGCTGGACTAAATTTTACCAAGCATCTGCAGAGTCTGAGGCAGCTGGGCTCGTACTGTGAATAGCTACTGCAGTGTGGCCAGTTTGGATCTTTAAAAATGGAAAATAATAGCTCAACCAATTGTACCCTCTTCCTGTACATGCCCCAGATAAATGATTTGTCTCCTACAGACACTTGGTGCTCTTGTCACCTTCTGGACATCAATAAATATGAGGGCAGCGGTCATTGAAACAGGATAGGAGACTGGCCACCCTGGTGGCAGTCGGCCAGTCTGTGCAGGCTTCTGAAAGCTAGCTGGTACAATTTTAGGAATTTCTGTGAGCTGCTGGCTAAACACAGCCATCATTAAAAATTGTATAAACCCACAATTAAGTTACTTAAAAAGATAAAGAGTACATTCACAACATACCACATCCTAATTATTTTACATTTTAGTATCTGTGTGTGTGTGTGTGTGTGTGCGCGTGCACGCTTGAAGCTTGTGTGTGTGTGTGTGTGTGTGTGTGTGTGCGCACTTGAAATTAGATTTGTATGTGTTTGGGGAAGTACTCTGTACAATGTCCTAGTGTACATTTCTTCACAACTTCTGTTGGTAACTTGATACTAACCGTGGTGGAAATATTTACACCAGGGAAATTGGCAGGGGCGTCCCATGCCTTTTCTGAGAGTTGAATGTCATACATTTACTATCACATCACTGACTGTGGTCCTTAAATAAACGAGGAGCATTACCAGGAGTAAGGAAAAGAAAAACGTTAAGCTACCTAAAGAGTAGGGGGAATATATTAAAAACATGTGAGTCTACCTTCAGAGCAGTAGCAAGGATGGCGATGTGGCAGCTGAACTTTTTCACCTGTACATTCTCCAAATTCCTGAAAAATTTGCATAGATTTTTATAGCCCAAAGCAACTGTGGTAGGAAGGTCTTCCTAACAAAGGTTTCTCCTGTCAAGAGCTAAGATCATCCAATAGCGCCACCTAGTGTCTAGAAACAGCCTCCAAAGCGATTTCTTGGCTGCCTTCCAGTTGGCTTCCACTCCTGGGGATCTTGTGATTAGAAGTGTCCCCCACTATGTACCATCTTCATTTAGGCTCTGGAAGCAGATTAAGTTTCATCTCTTTCCACCTTTACTTCTGCTACTTTGAGTCCTTAATGCTTTTTAAATAAGTTTATAGAAAAATTGTGAAGAAAATGTCCTGTTCATTATGTCTCAGTGAATGAGATATTTCATACTGTTGCTATGATGTTATTTTTTCTAAGTGAAAATAATTATATATGGCTGCATTCTTTTAAAACTGGAAAATCTTCTAAAAATGAGAATACTACCAGAGCTTATTCTCTCTCACACACGCGCGTGTGCACACACACACACACACAGACACACACACAGACGAGATTGCTTACCATTCATTAGAAGCAAGAACTAAAGATCAAGTTAGGGAGGTAGCATCAACTTTGCCCGTATGTGGGTCAAATGTTCAGTATAAAAGGCCTGAGTATTGCCACGATTCTGCATACTCTAGAAATACAACTTACCAAACCATGACAAGTTACCACGTCTGCAGCATTGCACTATTAAAGCATCATTAAGTCGAGGTTACATTATCTGATCTGGATCCTATGTAGTCTTAAAGGAGTTACTTCCCCCTTGAACTTTACATGACAGATCCACTTTGTTTATGCTGATCCTCATTTCCCCTTGCCTAAAGCTACTAACTGAAAGAGTAGTGGTTCCAATCCTGCTGCCTCTCTACAGGAGAAAGATAGGTCTACTTCCATTCTCCAGAGCTAGCTGTTGTGTGCCATTGAGTTGGAACCGACTCCTAGCTGACTGACTGGAATTGACTGAATGGTAATGATTAAAGTCCCCAAGGGGCAGTACTGTCCTGCAGGCCCACAAGAATTAGAACTGATGTGATGGGTTCTGAGCCAAGTCAAGTCTTAAAACCACACTGCATCTTAGCTTTCCCCCAATGGGTTATTCCTCCTACTGTAGCCTGTTTAAACACAATCACCAAATCTTGGTTTTGAATATACTCCAGAAGCTTTGAACAATTTAAAAATTTATTTCACTCTATTACATGAAACTGACTCCTGAAATGTAGCAACAAAGTCTTCATGTGCTGAAACAAGATTCTTTCTCTATGGTCTTTCCTTTCCCACCTCTTCCCTTATAATCTCTGCATACCTTAAGTGATCCCAGATGCAGGCATGCTTATTATGTGCTTAATTACACACTCAGGTATACATCAACTAACCTTTTCATGAGGGCACAGGCCTGGCTAATTCCCTCGTGGTCTCCAGGTTTGCCAAATTAGCAATAGCCCTTTGGCTGGGCTCTGGTGGCCTAGTGGCAGGAAGCTGCACTGCAATCCCAGAGGCACATGGTTTGAATCTATCAGCTGCTTTGCACAAAGATGCCCTTTCATGTGGATTTACTGCCTCTGAAAACCTGCTGGCTGTAGGTCAGCTGAGTTGGTTCCAACTTTCTGGCAAACAGCATGGTAGAAAAGTGGTAGATTTTGATCACATTTGAAGCTTCAGCTGACTTCGTTTTGATGCTGTCTGGAGAAATCTAGTTGGCACCTTAGAGAGTTTTTCTCTTTCCAGGGCCCCTCAGATCCCCAGGTATCAAAGGTCCTGGGGGCACTGTGCTCTCAGACACAGTGTGATCAGAGCCCAGTGCTAGAGAACTCTTAGGGAACTCCAAACTGCCCGAGAATGAAAGTTAATTCACCCAGGGATGGGGTCCCTTCTTTAATTTGTCCCGTTAAGAGCCCTGTGCCTTTGTTCCTTCTGTAGTAACATTCCATTTACCTTGTAGCCCATTGTACCCTGACCCACTTCAGAATTAATGTGTCTTACATTAATTAATCTGCTCTATTCAGAGATGGTTTTCTTTATTCACCACTCTATACACAAAGAATCTGAGCTGCATCTTCTAGGCATAGGTCTCACTATAGCAGCCTGCCCAGTCTTGTAGAACAGAACAAGATTCAATCCATGAAAGATTTTCAATTTCTCTAGGCCACCAGAACTCCCTAAGGCAGCTTCAATTGAGGATCATCTTGGCTACTTCTGAAATTGACTGATCACCACTTCTAGAGTCAATAACAACCAGAACACAGACTTAAAAACCAAGCCATTTAATTGTGTCTTAGAAAGTAAACAATACATGGAGCTGGATCCCAAGCCCTGGGAATGCCAGAACTCTGGGTTCACAGAACCTCATAGAGCAGTGTTCTCAACACAGAGGTCACAGCTCAAGGTGTAAGGAGGCAGAGTGCTTATGGAATTCATGCATCCAGTTAGCAACTTTGCACTCTGCCACAGAGAGACTCCAGGGGCCTAATGGGGTGAGGAAACTCAATTCCTGGTGGTGTAAGAAGTGAGGAATTTTATGTATACCCCATTCCTGTTCCTCACACAATCTTTAGTCTGAGCCAACTAGGATATCCCCAGCTCCTACAGCCTGAGCTGCAGTCAGTACGAGATCAGTCCCCTATCCATCCCTTTCCAGGTAATGCCATAGAAGTGATCTGAGGCACAGAGCTCTCTCCAAAACCGCTTTGTAACAAGCACCCAAAGTGAAAACAACCCTCTAGTGGCACACTGATTTAGTTGGTAAGATTTTAATTTACAAATTTAAAAAAAAGCTACATGTTTCATTTTTTCTCCTTTTTCTCTTCTTTCTTTGTATCACTCTTTTCCTTATCTTTGTCTTTCTCTTTGTCATCTTTTCTATCCTTTTTGCTCTCTTCTTTTTCCTGTCCTTCTTTCTTCTCTGCATCCCGGTTGGCTATCTTGTTGTTGATGAGGTTGTGCAGGGCGACCACAGAACGAATCAGCGAGGCCAAGTATACCACTACCATCTGGTCATTGGTCTTCAGGTAAAAGGCCTTGACAAACTCCTGCAGGCTGACGTCCGGCAGCAGGTTGAAGACGTCCTGCAGCTGGTAGATGATCGGGTGGTTGATGGGCAGCTTTCCTGTGGCCACTTTCTCCAGGTAGCTCCTGATGTCCAGAAGCTTGGAGTTCAGTCCCTTCAAACCATGGACTTGGTTTGTGATTCGCTGGGAAAGCGTGCCCACTGTCGTGTCTTTGATGTCTCTGTAATACCCACAAGAAAGAGGCAGGGAAAAGCATCAGTGCTGCATCATCATCAGTTGTCTGAGAGAACAGAAACACTGAAGGGAGGAGCAAACTTCTCAAAGAAATATGGTCCTTTCCTTTGACAAAGGATTTGGGTATAAATGAGCTTAATTTTTCTTTTACTTGAGGTATATTTTAGCACAACAAGTTATCTTCTCATCATGGAGTATTTTTTAAGAGACGATCATTAACAGTGCTGAAGTCAAACCATTCTCATTTTAAAAAACTTTTTTTAAAAAGGTCAATATTTCAGCTCTCCCTATAACTTCTTGTGTGCTGCAGTGAGAAATTTTCTACCTCAGGATGACCTAAATCACCTGCTTTGAGCATCAATAAGCCAGAAGTAAATTCTGAGAGCTAGAGGGAACCCTATATAACCTCATCAAATACAAGACTTTAAGATACAGTTGTTAGAAAATATTCCCACATGTACACACACTGTCTGCAGACAAACAGCCACCAACAAGGTGATGCTGGCATTTGTCACATACACAACTGTTTCTGGGACAGTCAACGTCAGTAGCTGTATAACATGTTCTAAATATATGAAAACATTAGGGACTATACAGTTCAGCCCCTTCAATTTCTGACAAAGGTCTGGAAGGGCAGGAATTTATTTGGAATTAGCTGCTAGTGTGGGGCTGAGTCAGAGCCCAGGTTCTCCTCACTCCTGACCCAGCGTTCGTCCCAACACTGAGCAGCCTCTGGGGACCTTTGTAGGCAGTTTGGCAGTACTGCATACAATTCTGGCCTCACCTTAACAAGTGTTCAACTCCAACTTCTTCAGCCTCCTCTGCTCCAATTTCACTGGTTACATGTTCAAATGTTTTTGAAGTTGGAGTTCCATCCTGGAAGAGGAAATATAACTGGTTACTTACTTAAAACAAACAGTGGGGTTTTTTTTTTAGTATAATTTTATTCTTCTGCTTCAAGTCAGATCATTTAATGGCTACATTACTGAGACTTCTCCATTACAAAAGTAGCTTAAAGCTTGCTTTGAAAATGTCCTAAGCTAGAGCCAGGTGGCCCTACTCAATGACAGGTACGCTTGTCTGTATGTATTAACAGGCACAAAGAAACTTTTCTCAGGAAAATCTTCACATTCCCTCAAGCTCACATTTGGGATGATAACAGGGAAGTATTCACAGGGTTTTTAAGAATATATAGGGTGGGGTGTTTGGTGGTTTTTTTTTTTTTAAAAGCAACATATAGCAAACTTGTACTCTTACGCTCATGCTAGAAAACATAACTTTACAACTATCCTGTTCAAATAACACAAGAGCACCAAAATAATCAGAATAGCTGGCTTTTCGCAGGTCAGAATTCAGCCAAGGATCAAGCTGGAAGATGCTGCTGGGAATGCTGGTCATCTAATGACTTCCTGATGGAACCCAGAAGAAAAGATTTTTTGCAGACGCAGTGTCTGAAGTGACCACGCCTCGCCTGTGGAACTGTACTACATGTGTAGCAGAGCAGGGAGGGCAGACTCTGCAGGCACACTGCCTAGCTCTGTCTGACAGCAAGCGAGCTTCCAGAGCCTTTAACAATCTTGCAGAAATTTATAACATGCTTTCTAGGACTCAAGGTCTCATGGTTTTATAACAATATGGTCTTCGGTGTTATATCTAGCTTCTTGTTGCATTGGGTTGTTTATATTATGTGAAGCCTCAAATTCATTTTGGAAAGTGGGGTGAAAAGGAACTTAACAATAGCAATTAAATATTAACAGTATCAAGACCCAAGAATAAAAGACTTTTCCAAGTGGGCAATAAATATGGAACTAGCAAGGCAAAGAGAAGCAATAAGACAGAGCTCTGTGGAAGTAAACTTTGTAGAGAGCTAAGCTAAAAATACCTTCATCAGGATATGAAATGGAAAATGAAGAGAAACACTGCATATCTAAATCCAAAGACAGACTGTAAGTGGAAATCCTGGAGGAGGCAAGTTAGTGGCACAGTGGAAAGTGTAGTAGGCCAGGATTAGGCCTGCCAGGCTCTGTGTCTGTCTCACTATGAATGTCCCTAGGGCTCCACTGAATTTGTAAAATAATTTTAAATTTCTATGTTCCTCGTTTGCACTTCAAAATTGAAGGGAGAAAAATGCCAGCTCAAACTATGGACAGAATCAACAACTCTGTTAGAGAGAAAGGATTTGCTGACTTGATAACGGGGGAGAGAGAGGAGGAGGCTGTCCACCATCATTCACTAAATGGCAAATCAAAGTTCCTGTACTCATAGCAAGGTGACTTACATCATGAACTTCTTCCACTGAGATATATGCTTCAGTTGGCAGCCCCAAGTCCTTTGGCTTGACATCAATAATGACCAATACCTGGTGGAGAAACACAGCAAAGCACCTCAGAGCCAGAGAACAGAGAACTACAGTCATTCTTCTACTAGAGCTGTTTCAGTCCTTTGAGCAGAATCAAGCCAGAATTTTCAGCAAAAGTGAATATATTTCAAATGTTCTCACCCTTTACCTCCTCCTAACAAGCTGAGAAGTGGTACCATGCATTGATTAAATACAAGAACACTGGAGTCTACATAGCCACCATTTCAATCCCAGCCCCATCATCCACCAGACCCTACCAACTATTATGAAACTCAGTCTTCACTATAGACAGGAAAAGCTTTGAAAATGATTTGTTACCTATATCCATCCTAGGGTACTCTCAGCTTGAGTTAGCTGAGTTATCACACATTTTGAAAACAGAGAGTACTTACTGAGTTAGGGCAGTATCTTTTCATGAGCTCATTGATGGCGATGTCATTCTTATGTAGTTTAGGGCCTGTGTGGTACCACCCAACTATTCTTTCTCTAGCTGGGAAAGAAAGATAAAAATTATTAGTGGGTTTAACTGTTGGTCACAGGTCTACCTAAATTCCCCGAAGGAATAAGAATGTAAATCGTTACGCCTTCTCCTGGTATTCTAGTGGTTTGACTCTATCTGCTGCTTCGCGGGAGAAAGATGAGTAGTTTCTTCTCTTGTAACTTACTGCCTCTGAAAACCCACTGGAGGGTGAGCTATCGGGGTCTGTAACCATCTTTTTGAAAATTCTAGGCATCTTATTTTAAACCCTGACATGCCTATATTACCTATAACTCAAAACCAGAAGGCTCAGAAAATCAACAGCATGGGAAATTTGCAAACGCCTATATTCTAGACTAGTTTGGGAGACCAGAGACAAAGTCCAAGGCAATATGTTGTTCCTGTTGTTGAATGCACGACTCATAGCGACCCTATGAACAAAAGGCCTGAAGCCTTTCTATAACTACTGACATTTATCAAAGTTCAGATAGAAACTATTTAAATTTATGTCATGCCAACAGCATCTGTGTTGTGAGAAAAACCAGCTCCAAAGAAATGCAGTTGTAATAAATAATACATGTGACAGAGGGATGGATATATTTACTCTTGTGGTACTAAAGCTTGAAGGACAGCTGGAATTTATTTGCTGTTTTTGTGACTTTCTGCTACAATCAGAAGGTTCTATCTTTTTTCCTTAAACCTAGGCAGTCTAACTGGACATAAATTATTATTCTAGTTCCTCATTTATTCTACTTGATTTCTTCTCTACAACTTGTTTTACTTATGTCTGGCTTAGGGTAAGGATTTTTGATATTAAAATGGAATAATGAACATTCCCTGGTCTAAGCCATGCCATAACACTATTTTAAAAAATCAAGACTTACCATTGACTTTTTTAAACATTCCATACATGTTTTCTAAATAATCGTGGTCTAAAAACCAGACAGAATCATCTTTGTCATCTTCATCGAAAGGGACTAAAGGGAAACAAAAGATTTTGTTTAGGGTACTAGATAGGGGGTCACTACAGCTGGTGTCATAACCAGAGATGCCCCCCATGCCAGTACTGATCCACTTCTGTGTATTGTTTGTCCAACACAGTATTACCTTTGTTTTTCGAATTAAGGGGCTTCTAGGTTTCACCAACTTTAGCAATTATGAGACAGAATTCAGCCCTCCCCCCACCCCGCTTAAAACTAACTGATATTTTAACCATGTACAAATGTACAATTTATCTTTTACCTGCAAAACTGTTAGATACATCAAGTACTTTCTTTTGCCATGACCCCAAAAGCACACCAACGACACGCTTCTGGTTTCCAACCTTGCCTATTCTGGATAAGAAAACAGATGGTCAGTCTGGACAGTTATGCAGAGTTATGTGCACCCAGCAGCTCAATAAGAAAGTCAATGGTACAGATATGGCCCACCTGGGAACAAATCCCGCCAAACAAATATAACAGAATTAGATTAGCTCTTAATATTACATGTTTCACAGTTAATCCAGGCTGGTTTCTACAAAGGTGTGTTTTCTGGTTTGGGTTTGAGACTAGGGTGTGGCTGTTGCTCACAACAGCCTGTGAGATGACTGGATTTGGGTGACTGTAAGGGCCACACAGGGGAGGTGCATCCCTTCTATAAAATAGGAACCATCGACACTGGTAAATTATCTGTTCTCTTTTTAGTCAGTCACTTCAAAACAACAACCAACAGAAAACCCAAACAAAAAAAGCTGTACATTTTAACATAAATTATGATGAGGTGAACCATTAAAAAAAAAAAAAATTAAAATAAAGGCTTTTGGGCCCTCGGGCCTGCTTTTGTGGATCTCCTGAATAAAACAGGCTTGGAAGCAGGAGTGGCATCCACTTCCAAAAAAGCCTGCCTTGGGAAACCCTATGAGCTTGGAGAAAAGATGAAAGTTTTGTGTTCAAGACTTTCATTCATAGAGTCGCTACAGGTTGTCTATGACTCTATAGCACTTAACAACAACAAATACAGGTAGTCCTCGATTTACTACTTAGGTAAAACATATCTAAGCTACATAAACTGTACTTGTGACCTATAGCTGTCTCTTATTTATAATACTGATAATAAAAGAATAATGAAAGCTAAAGAAACAGAATGTATAGAATTTATACCAAGAGACTTCTGCAAGGTGAATTGAGGGTTTATTTGTAATTCATAAACATACAAAACGGGGGGCGGTGTAGAACGGAACTACTTTCTAAATCTTAAACTATTAAACACTGGCATTACTGAGTGGCAAATACATTTCCATAAACCCACTCTTATCAAGTTGCTTCCACTCAGAGCAATTATCCATTGTATTTTCAGCAGTAAATCTTTTTAGTATTTACGCTTTTCCTGTGGAGCAGCTGGTGGACTATGGTGTAAGACTCATAGTTTAGCAGTCCAACATGCAATGCACTATGCCATTAGAGCTTTTATTTTAAAAAGAAAAACCCCAACAAACCCTCAACAAGGGGCCCTGGTGGGCAGTGATCAAGTGCCTAACTGCTAACAGATAGGCCGACAATTAGAATATACCAGCCCCTCTGCAGGAGAAAGATATGGAAATTTGCTTCTATAATGCTTACAGCCTCTGAAGAATGTTGGGCAGTTCCAATTTGTCCTATGACAATAATAAATGGAATAATAAATTGGAATAAATGCCAGTGGGTTTGGTTTTAGGGATGTGTGTGTGTATATATATATAGATTGGGATAATTAGGATGGGAATGTCGGAGACAGAGCGATTGGCACAGGTCAGGGCAGAGTTTAGGGCTGTTGTACATAGGGTCGCTATGAGTCGCAGGCGACTTGACGGCACATAACAACAACAACAATAATAATAATAATAATAATTTTATACACACACACACACACACACACACTTGGCACTTCCACATTTTTTACATCTAAAGTTAAGTGACATTAATTAGGCTTATCAAATTTCATAACCATCACCACTATTCATTTACAAAGTTTTGGAACGGAATCTCTCTCTTAACAGAAGTTCAGCCATCACCAACTGCCAAGTAATACAGGTTTGGAAATAAGTTCAAATTTTTTAAAATGAAAATTCTCTGGAGCTTAAGAATTTAAAAATATTAACCTATGACGTGAAAAAAAAAAAAAAAACCCACCACATTTAAGTGACACCATCATATTTACTCTTCCTTCTCCCGTCCTAAACCTAAACCAGGATAGAAAACTATCCTGCTATCTTTTCAGGAACAAAGATGCTCCAGGAGAAGCAGTCTATGGTCTGGCTTCTAGGCTGCTAAACCTCTGGAATATTTATTCTGTGTCTGCTCAAGTGGTTCAGGAAGTGATTCTGATCCGCAAGTATAAATGTATACTTTCGAAAGTATAAACTTTTTATTATAGTTACTGGTTTTACACTGGTGTAACTGTCAGATTCTTCTTTATATTTAGTTTCATAAGCTGATGATAAATGGTTACTAAGTTTGGGGTTTGGATCCAACAAAATGGAAGACTCTGAAACTCATGAGTGTCTCTAAACTTTGGGGGAATCTCAACATTTCAGTTTCCACACTTCAAAATAAACCCCCCACACTTCCAGGCTTTTTTTTAAAGTCTACAAACGTGTTTGTGTTTTTAAAGCCCTGTATTTATTTGCTCTTTGACACAGCAGCTGACAGTGATTGTCATAGCTCTGCCCTAACCCTCCATAATTTGTACTCATAATCACCCCATTAATGCCTCCAGTATCTTATGGGAGCTCCTGTGGCCTTGAGGATAGAAAGTTGTGCTAACAACTCAAGGGCATATAGTTCGAATCTACCACTTGCTCTGTGGGAGAAAAACAATCTCCTCCCATGCGATTTACAGTCTTGGAAAACCACTGGAGGGTAAGCTATGGGTTGGTCTTACTCTACTGGACAAAACAACAACAACTATATAGTAGAAAAGCCTACGACAACAGCAACAGCAGCAACAACAACCTGCACATCCACCACCACCACCACAACACAACAACAACAACAACCTGCACGTCCTGCTATGAGGAAAGTCCTACCTACAAAGCAATGGAACTGAACTGACAACCTTAAGCTTTCCAAGCTTTTGGTTTGTTTTTGGATCTAGTGAAATCGCTTCTCCAGGAGACCAGGCACTTGCCAGCTGTGTCCTTCACAGATACCCGAGGAGGTTTTTACATTTGCCAAGCCGACTAATTATCTTGTAAAACTTAGAAACGGGTCTAGCAGGATGAGCAACTAGGAAAACAAGCTAGAAAACGCTGAGATAACCGAGGCTCTGGGAGATATTTTACCTCATTCATCAATACCAAGACCTCCAACAGGATTTATTTTTAAACGAAGAACTTGACATTTTATCTGCGTTTTATCATCATCTCACTCAGAAAACTGTACGGGTTAAAAATCACTGCCCAGCCAGGTAGGCTTTCAGGGCGCCGAGACCAGCATGTCGGTGACAGCCTCTAGAGGCTCAGAAGCGCGAGTATCAATTCATCGCTTTCTTTCGAGATGGTCTTTTTGGTGAAAAGGGATCAATGAAGTGACAGATGGAGCAACGAGGTCTGAGAGGGTCAGAGCCATCTGAGCCCCTTCCCTTCCACAACATATAACCATAAATACTTCAGTAACATGCGTGCAGGACAGAGGCCCCGAGCGGTGGCGGCCGGGGAGGTGGGGGGGAGGCGGGTCAAGGGGTGATGCTGGGTGACTCCAGCTTCTTGAGCAGGGGTCACTCTCGGTCCCAAGAGAAACGGGGCCGCTGCCCGCGCGCCCTCAGAGAGGCTCGGTCCCCAGCGTGCCCGCGCTGTCCCCAGTGTGCCCGTGACTCAGCAGCGGTGGCCACTGCCGGCCCAGCCAGGCCGCCCCGCGTCGCCCGCTCACCGGTTGAAGTGATCCACTACACTGAGAAGCACCAGGGGGTGGACGACCACCTTCTGCACCGCCAGCTCCGGCATCGTGATACTCCCCGATTGCCAGGCCTGGCTCTGCGCGACCCGCGAACACCCGTAGCTGCTCCCGCGGCTCCTCCAGGCCTGGCTCCTCCCCTTCCGGCTCGGCCGCCGCCGCGAGGTCCCGTTCTTCCGCTCCCAGGCCGCCCTGCGCGTCGGGCTGTGTAGTCCCCGTGACTGCTATGTTGAGGAGGGCAAGCAGCCACCAAAAAACCCCTAAGTCAAACCCGCGGCCTTTCAGTGAAGCTCGTAGTGACTCTATAGGGTAGAGCAGAACTGCCCCATAACGGTTTCCAAGATTGAAAACCTTTTATGAATCAGACTGGCTCGTCTTTCTCTTACAGAGTGGTTGGTGGGTTTGAACTGTTGACCTTTTTGTTTAGTGCTGTAACCATTGTACCACCAGACCTTCTTCAGGAGGCGAAGAGGACCAGAAAAGGTCAGGGGTGAGGGCTGTTTTTGCTCTCTTACAGAGCTCTCCGAGTTTTTGTGTTTTTCAAAGCGACACTTGGCGCTGAAGTTTTTCTACCAGTAGTCGGGCCATTTTTTTTCTGTTCTTTATTCACTTTTATTTGAAGCGGGGGTGGAGGGGAGAAACCCAAACCCCAAACTAATTGATTTATGCCTACCTTGCTAGTTGACATTTGCTTCAAGTCAAACCTTTTAGTATTTCTTTGAGAAAATTTAAATTTAGCATTAATAACCAAACCATCCAGAGGGTTAAACCAGGCTGCCCCTTGGAGGCAAGGATTCTGGGGCTTCGTCTGACATACTTTGGACATGTTGTAAGGAGGGACAGGTCCTTGGAGAGGGACATCATGCTGGGTAGAGTGGAGGGACAGCGCAGGAGAGGAAGGCCCTCTGTGAAGTGGATTGATTCAGTGACTGGGGTAATCGGGATGCGTGTGTCAGAGACAGTGCGATTGGCACAGGACAGAGCAGGGTTTAGGGCTGTTGTACATAGGGTGGCTATGAGTCACAAACGACTCGATGGCACATAACTACCATCTAATGGTTATGGCGCATAGCAACCCCCTTGTAGGACACAGTAGAACGACCCATAGGGTTTCCAAGGCTTTACCCTTTAAGGAAGCAGTTTGCCATATCTATCTCTTGAGCAACTGACTCAACCTCCAGCCTTCTGGATAGCAATAGAAGTACAGAGTGTGCAATTTATCCTGACCTCATTTTTATGGTCAGAGACTTTATCCTTGATACTGACTATGGAAGGAGCCCCTGTAACCACTCTGAGGAAGAAAATTGTCACAGTGTCCTCCCATAAAGATTATACATCCTTGCCAACCTGATAGGGCATTTCTTCGCTGACCATTGAGTCACTATGAGTCAAAATGGACTCCCAACGCTGTGAGTTTGCTTCCGGATACTTTACTAAGGACCTTATAATAGTTTATATCCGCTAGTCTTTATATTACTTTGTATCTAGGGAACTGGTGGTCTAGTGGGTAGTGGTGTGCTGCCTAACCTAAAGGGCAGGTGGTTTGAATCCACCACCTGTGCTGTGGGAGAAGGATGGGCAGTTCTGAAAACCACTGGAGGCTTAGCTGTGAATGGGTTCCTATTGGATTGCAATGAGTTAGTTATAGATTTCATTTTTATAATTTGTAAAGTAGGAGTAAAATAATACCTGACTCATTGAGGGGAAGGGGAACCCAGAGCAGTTAACTGTGCTCATGTGAAACCTATACAAGACCATAAAGCAGTTGTTGGAACAGAACAAGGGAACACTGCGGGGTTTAAAGATAGGAAGAGTACGGATTATCTGGGAAATATTTTGGAAAATGCAATAAAATAGTCTGGATTGCAAGTTTTAGTGGGCTCCAATAGTTTGTTTATAAGTGTTAATAATGTTTTTATAAAAGGACTTAAAATATACTTTTGTGTTTTGATTACAAGACTGATTCACCCTACTCATTTCTAAAACTTCAAGTATATAGAAATATGAAACTCATGAAACAAATTCATTGAATGAATTCTGACTCAGGGATCCCATAGGACACAGATGGACTGTTTATAAGTTTTCTATAAAGGCTGTTAACTATAGAAAAAGGCCATACATTTTTTATGGAAACAGACTGCTGCATCCTTCTCTTTACCAGCAGCCAATGGATTGGAACCACTGACCTTTCAGTTAGCAGCTAGACACTTAACTGTTGTTCTGCTAGAGTTCCTGTCTATTCCCAACCCTTAGCTGTAGTCATGATTCAGTTTGTTGTGTGTCCTTCGAAATGGAATGTTTGAAAGTTTTAAACCTGACTTCAAATATAAATAGTATGCATCGTTTATCTCTTCATTTTGAAATTACTGGATTTGGTAGCATCTTATTTGCTCTTCCCATCCCATAAATAGCTAAATGCATAATTAGTTATGCATTTTGTGTTTATTAGTTGTGCATAGTATGCAGTGACTCAAGGAGTCCTGGTCTCTACAGTCCTGAAGACAGATAAAGCAACTTTGGCTCTGAATCCTGGCCTCCTTCCTGTGTAGTTCAGGAGCTTCCAAGATTCTTTCTGAGTCCTATGTGTAATTTTCATTACTTATATTCTTTATAATATAAGGTATTAATAATAAAGAATTCCTTATAATAATCTATAATTATATAATGAATAGAATAGAATAGAATAGAATAGAATAGAATAGAATAGAATAGAATAGAATAGAATAGAATAGAATAGATATAAGGAATTCCTTATAAGGGAGCGCTAGTGGCATGCAGTTCAAATCCACCAGCTGCTGCAGGTGAGAAAGATGGATAGTCTCCTACCATGTGATTAGCTGCCTCTGAAAACCCACTAGAGGGTCAGCTATGGGTTGGTTCCAACTCAGTGACACACAATGACATATTCAGTATGCTTTTGGAAACACTGCATTGAATCATCCTTATATCTTTCAGTATTTTTAAATTGGCTATCAGATGATTGCCACTACTTCCTAAGATAACTTTGTTGTTATGTGCTTGACTCATTGCAAACTTATGTACCACAGCTCTGAACTCTGTCCTATCCTGAGCCAATCTCACTGTCTACACATCTATCCCCAATATCCTCATTTTGCCAGTTACTTTATCAATCTGTCTCATCTGGGTCTTTCTCTTCTGTACTGTCTCTCCACCTTTCCAAGCATGATGTCCTTCTCCAAGGACTGGTCACTCTGGGCCACGTGCCCAAAGAATGTGAGATAGAGCTTCAAAATCCTTTCCTCCAAGGAGCAAGCCCCTTGATTTTACCCTCTCAAGGACAAACCTGTTTGTTCTCTCAGCAGTCCACAGTATGATCAATACCCTTCTCTCGCATCACAACTCAGTGCTATCAATTCTTCTTCTATCATCCTTACTCATTGTCCAACTCTCTGATGCATAGTAAGTAATTGCAAAGACCATGGCTTGGATCAGGTACACCATAGTTACACCTTATACTGACACTTGCTTTTCGGTACTCGAGAGGTCCCTGACAGCAGATTTTCCCAATGCAATTTGTCTTTTGATTTCCTAGCTACTGGTACCAGGAGTGTTGATTGTGGAGCCAAGCAAGCTGAAGCTGTTAACAATCACAATCTCTTCACCATCTATGATGCTGCTGCCAGTTACTCCAGTAGTGAGAATCTTAATTTTCTTGATGTTGAGCTTCAATCCATATTGAAAGTTGCAGTCTTTGACCTTCTGCAGGTTAAGAAAATTTTAGTCAGCCTTCATTGTATGATATATTAAAGTATGTTTGCTGGTGTCTAGTGCCAAATTCAAAGTAGATATTTTTTGTAATTGAAAGTTTAATGGCTACCAGAAGATCAAGAATTGAGAGATCTTACTTTTACTTATATGCCAAATAAAGCTTAATAATTTATGTCTAAAGGAAACTTTTTTTTAAACTGCACAATATAAAGAAGACCACTGTAAGGATTAAAAAGATATTTTCTGTGTTTCCCTATTTTTAAAGAACTGGAAATGACTTGAAATCTTCTCTGCTATTGTAGCTATTACTGTGGGCTGAATTAATTCACATAGATGCAGAAGATGGCGTTATAAGAAATCCACTTTCTTTTTTCATTAAATTCTATACTGTTGCTTTATCATCTGAACATTAAAAGGACCTGCTCAGTGATTAAGGTCAATTCAGTTTCCTTTTCTTTGATCACCTTTGTGTTTTAATTTAGGTAATTAGCTCTATATCATCTTGAGAGAGTTCTGAGGTACTTCATACCTCCTAACAATACCTCGAACTTTGCAATGTGTTTATCTTTTTTTTTGCAATGTGTTTATCTTAACTGGAGAAGGAAAATAAAATAGTTAAGATATACCACCTTCAACCAAAGTTGTATTCACCGTTGATACCCAGAAAATTTCCGTACATGAGTTGCTGAGAAATCTTGAATGAGATGCATCTTTTTTTTTTTAAAAAAATCCTTTTTTAATTTGAGTGAAAGGTTATAAAGAATAGATTGTTTTGGTCCATGCAATTGCTCTTTGAGAGTTTATTATATTTGTTCCTCTCTTTGAGGTATAGCTCAAGTTCGCTGGATTCCAAATCTTGTAGGAAATTCAAGATTTCCTGGCCATTCCAGCCTTGCATTAAGGAGTCAGAGGGCTACTTCTCTGATCTGTAGGTTTTTTCATCCATTTCCTCCATGAAATGGTTAATACTTTGACTCCAAGGCATCACTTTTCCCATTTTTCTTTCCGAGATTGTTTTTTCCTCCCTTGTGCAGTTCTTGAGATGGCAGCCTAGTTCCGGCTGGCCAGAGGTCTGGCATTTAGGTTGAGCTCTGGGAATTCAGGTGACTATGAAGGGCCCAGGTACAGAGACACATCAGCTCCTCTCTGCTGCTTCCAGTCTCTTTGACTGATTTTCCTATGTTAATCTTGTTCTTTGCCACTTTTCAGAATTGGTCAATTTTATCTAGCATTTTTTTTACTAAATCTTTGGGATTGTCTCCATATAGGATCATGTCATCTACAAATAGAGATAGTTTCATTTCCTCTTTGCCAAGTTGGATGCTGTTTATTTATTACTATTCTTGCCTTCTAGCTCCGACTAGGAATTC